GGCAAGTTTTCCCAGATTCTTGGGCCTCTCGCGCTTCACGGCCAAAGCTCGCGCGCTCTTGGTAGTCGCCATTTTTGAAGCGGACACCAAGACCCGCTCCTTCTGAATGGCCTTCTTGACTGGCTTGTTCCCGGTTTTCAGCGCACTTGCCGATGAGCTCCCTGGAGTCGCCTTCATTGGGATCTTCAGGTTTCGAACTGATGTTGGCTGGCTGCTTCGAGGTCCCCAGCTCATCTTGAGAACTCGGGAGGATGCGTCCACGGCTCGGCCCGTCCGCGACATTCCATTCGCTAGGCACCCACCGAACACGAAGCTGGAAATCCCCTAACAAGGAAAGTGCGCTAAGTTGCTGAATAATACGCAATAGGGCAAAATTTGTAGCTCGACCCTTTGTGACAGCAAAAGCCAAGGCCATGTTATCGACAATGACGAGGTGCTTCTTGCGTCTATTGTTGGAGTTTCTGGCCAAGCGCCTAGCTGCTAAGACGAGAGCACGACCCTCCTTGAGAGTGATGTGTTCACTTGCCACGCGCCATCTTCCCATGAGCACTGTATGCCAGGCCTCAGGTTCCATGAGGGAAAAAGGAACTTCAGGAAACAGCTCGTTCGAAACGTATTCCAAAGGATCACTTGTCTCGCCAGATGCACCCCCTGTTGAAATGTCGGAGAAAGGATTGAGTCCTGTGGCTCGCCGGCGCGGCTGCCACTCCTCGGGAGGGAGGCGACGAAAACGCCATCTCTCGCTCCATTTTCCGACACTACGAACATCCTCGACGCCACACTCACGCTCACAAACTCCATAACCCTCAGGCGAGGCATCGGTAGCCGTAATCGTTTGAGACCAACCTCTCCGAAGATCGCCCACCAATAAAGGAATCAGACCCACAAAAACCCTGCACTCACTTGCCTCTTCTCTTGTGAGTCTCCTTGGTGAGTCCGCCTTTTCGATGAAATCGTAAAGCCTCCTGAAAACACTCATCCCACAGCGGTTCAGCACACACACCACCATCGCATGACCTAGCAATCTTTGTACCAAATCAGCGGTGACGACGTTTTCGATCAAATACTCAAAAGCGAAAATCAGGTTCCACGCCCGAGATGCAGTAGTGCGAATCTCTCCGCGCTCCCCATCAATCACTCCCCCAAGTGTAGGAAATACCAACGATGGCGGCTCATGTTCATGAAGCGTAAAACCCATCTCGACAAGCCTATCACAAATCTTCATCTCCCCCTGCCCACAAGCCTCAGCAGAGCTGCCCATACAATGGACGTTGTCACAGTAAGGCATGGAAATGACTGCATCACCTGCCACAGGGGGTGCCGGGTAACCGTCGAGAACGAGTTGGCTACGAGGTATTTGTAGTGCATCCAGACTGGCTCCTTCATGGAGCTTCTGTACCAAATAGAATGACCAATTAAACCCCATCGGGAGGACTGTGATGCAAGGGGATACACGATCCCGTTGTGAATATTCGTACGCATACCCTCCGAAGACCTCTGCTGCTTCGTCCGGAGTGAGGTCCGACGCTAAGCAGAAGAACTCCTCGAGGCCCTTCGGGAGGAAGCAGGCGTAAAAACAATCTTGTATGTCCGACCCCGAGGTATACAAGCATTGACTGTCCCCCAACTCCAGCTCAGTAAGTGCCGACAGCGAGCCTAGCTCCACATGAGGCGGCGTCTTGAACTGCAAGTTCACCTGGCGGCAGTCAAGAACCAGTCTTTGTCTTTTGACCTTCTGCCCATTGACGACCTTGTCCTTCTTTGCAACAGTAAAAGCACCGACCCTCCCCCGAACACGAGTGGACAAGCCCAGGATTCCACATTGCCTGAGATGCTTTAGGAACTGCAGGTAACCTGACCGTCTATTCAGGCTGGGATCGTTATACGGCCGAAGTGAGGATGCCAAATGACTGACCTGAGCCCACGAGTCCGCATCTCGAAGAAGCCAATCCTCGAAATTGTTCACCATTTCACGAAGCGGCTTAGGAAGCTGCGAACTCAAGTCCACACCTGCAACCGTGCCCGACGGAAGTGACAATGCTCCCAGTTGCATATCAACCACGTCTCCCACCCCCGCCTCTGGAATGCTGTAACCAGAGGCAGGTGCCCGGAGCGCCGCAAGGGCTCCCTGGCGACAAGCATCAGGTGGGGGTGCCCCAAAATTCCGAATCTTTTGTACAAGCCCCTTCACTGCCTCAAACTGTGCACGAGGAAGCTGTTCCATCGAGGCCGCTCTGGAAGATTGGAAGCGACCTTCCCCACCAAAGAAAAGGGTATTCAGCGCGGCGATTGCCAAATTCACCCGCTTCATGACGTGCACACTGGTGTGCACACGGCGTGCCACAGCCCGACTGAGCCCGCGGCGGGGGCCTTCAAGAAGCTCAACCAGAGGCAAAGGGAAAATATCACGATGCCTACCGTCGGCTCCCCTGGGCTCATGAAAAATCTTGCTGTGGAAAACCATAATGCGGAGAAAATCCCGGCAGTTGAAAACGAGGTGAGTGCTCTGCCCAACTGCGCCCAGCAGAGCACCTCCTTCCCTGAGCTACTTCTTCACCTCCCCCTTTGGAGCTCCGTCTCCGGCTCCCTTGGGGGATGGCTTTCCGGTACGCCCCTTGCCCTTGGCTTCACTAAGCTTTCGGCGCTCCTTCAGGATCTGGGACTCTTGCTGCATTCGCTTCGAGACAAACTCCGTCAAGACAGGAATGACAATGCCACCTCCGGGCCGGAATGTGGTGCCCATGAAATGGTCAGCCCCATCATATGAAGGCGCCGAGGGATTGTAAGAATGAGCTTCTGCCAGTAACTGCTTGCGTCTCACTATGAGCTCGAACGATGCGAGGTTTGCCACATTGAGACCATCGTAGGTTACGGCTGCATCAAGGACTCGAGAGAGAACCTCGTCCTCGTGGATGGCCCTGTCTCCCTCAGGAATCTTTGACTGAGCAACCCATGACAAGTGTTGAGCATAGCATGACTCGGCGACGGAGGCCACCGCCTTGACATACTGTAGCGCCGTCCTTGGCTCAAAAGGGAAGTCGTTGAAGTCGACTTCAACTAACTCACTGATGGTCTCCTTGAAGTTGCGAAGCCGCTCCCCATTCAACCCATAGCGAATCTCAATGGTTCGAGCATCCTCGGCAGCAGCGAAGTCGTCACCTTCAAGAGCAATCGAGCTGCGGGCGAGTGCGATGCGTTCCTCACAGAACTTTGGGATCTCGTCCTCGCGTAAGCGCCTTACAAGACATGGACGGGTGACACCTTTGTCATCGGACATAGAGCAGAGGCCCCAGCCGGCTTCTTGCACCATGCCATCCGGCACAGCAACACGTTCGCCTATCTTGTGCCCCCCAACCATTTCAGCAAGCACCCAAAGTCCTGCATCACCGGCGGGAGGTCCTGCCACATCTCCGACTCCTGCGCCTGCTGGGTCTGCCGCACCGCCAGCGGCAGGGGCTGGATCCATAGCGCCCAGTCCTCGACGCCGGCGCTCAGCATCCGCCTCTCGTCGGCCAGCTCTGAGATGGCCACTGTAATCTCGAGCTGTCATCGGCGCAAAGCCATATATACTTGCAGCTGGGACCCCCCTGGGCAGTCCCCCGGCAGCTCCGCCCCTATGGAAAGACCGAACATCGGGATTTGAAGCGTGAAGTATCTCTATGTACTGGTCGAGATCTGGCGTAAGGATCACGAACTCATGCGTGCTGGCATCCACTTCGGCCAACACTAGCCTGGAGTGTACACACTGAGGTGCCTCCCCGTAGTCCATGTACACGACATCACCCACATTGATTGCCATCAATCTGTGATTTGAAGAGCTCGGGCTGGATTGTAAACTCCCTTACTCTTCCCCTTTAAGTGCACTGCCACCTCGCGCTCCTCTCCTTTCTTCACTACGGTGACCTTGAAAGCCCAAGCAAAGCCAGTCGCTGTAATCAAGCAGAGAGATACAAGGAATGCCAACAGGGTGAGTGCCCCTGGGTAACCCGAATCCTTTTCACGATACGAATGGGCACAATGGCAATCGCAATGACACTTCGGACTGTCCTGTCTGTCGGGAAACCAACCCCGGATGATCCAGCCAGCGAAAAGCCCGGCCGCTCCCCAGACCGAAGAGGAAGAATCCATGGGAACCTACCACCTGAAACACTTAAGAAGAGACGGCCACACATTTTCATGCAGCAGCATACGTCACCTCCCTGCAAGCAGAACTAATGTGGGTGTGGGTGTGGGTGTGGGTGT